CCACATAGAACCGGTTCTGATACCATTACAGAAACGGGGGCAAAACGGGTGCGGTCCCACGCACGTGAAGCGCACCATAAGTAAGGAAAAGCCCAGATGAAGCCTAAGTGAGGTTCCATATATCCTAAAACCAATTGGTGGTAGAAGGAGTAGTCCATTAGACTTATAATTATGTCTATTTTTCATATATAAACGATGTGGGACAACTCACAATTAATATTCTAACGGGAATGTATACCTTCGTCTTTATAACTTCGATTTTTAAAAAAGTAAATATATCGTATATTTGGTTTTAGTTTTCAATTTTCAAAAAGTGACTCATAGACGTAACCAAGCAGATGTGATGTGACAGTTTTTTATTGGTGTTTTATATGAAAGGATCGTTCCATTATGGGTCTGTAGCATTTTCCTACTTTTACAAGTGTGGCATTTAGTGAAAAAATTTCTTTTTCTAAAACAAGTTAACAAATTATAAATGAAGTTTGAACTACACTAAACTGGAATGGGTGTTAAGAAATTAACATTTAAGAGAGATTGAATAAGCATTAACAAATTTGAGAAATAGATTCCTACGCTCTATATAGAACAAATAGGTATTGGACGGGAAGCATATTCACATATTTATATTTTTTAAAATCTAAAATAAAACTAGCGTATTTAAAATTGAGTTAATAGGCATCACGTAGCAAAGATGTAAAGAGACGAATATTGAATGGGGGGACGTATTAAAATATAAAAGAACTTAGAAAGAGAAAAGAACTTATAAAAAAACAGGTCTTGAATGGCGTTAATATCTAAGTTACAGAAAGGAGTATAGAGAGACAAGTATTGAAACATATAAAAAGTTAATATTCAAGTTATAAATAATTATTGATATATTTATTAATTAAAAACTAAAATTAGCGATGAAATTATAAAGGCGTATCAAGTCGATATAGACACTTTTTAGTTTTAGCGTTAAAATCGAAGTTATAAAAATGGGATAAGGCTACAATCCCGTTACAGAACCATTCCGTTGAAATTATAGCATTTTCCATAAAAATGTTAATATCAAAATTATAGACAATTTGAATCAAAGTATTAAAATTTAAAATCCACATATTAAAAGTTAAAATTGAAATTATAAAGAATTATTGAGTCGATATATTTACCATCTAAAAACTAAAACTAGCGTTAGAGATGTCTCTATTAAAATATAGAAAAATATTACAGCCCCGTCACAAAATGATTATGTGAGGATTATTAGCCTATAGATATACATGTAAGTTGGTTATTGTAAATAATTCATGGTTAAAAATTTTGACTAATCATTCCGTGACGGGACTGTAATGTTCTCAGTAAAATTATATACACATAACTTTTTACACAATGCATGTGTGCAACTTATTATTATACTTTAAAATAATTGACAAACATGTTCAGGTTTAGGACTGCACCATTCGACTAAGAATCAGAAATTAAATTAAGATATGCCATTAAATTAAAAATAAAGGTTCAGTGTGTAAACAATAGGGTTGCACAAAATATGGTTAATCGAGCCCAATTGACTGAAATAAAAAATTCGATTTGGATCGAAACCAAAACTGAAATCGAATATTTAATTTAGTTTTTTCACCCCACTATGAAAATGTATTAAATTTTTCACACCACCCATAAATAAGTTAACTTTTTCAGTACCCCAGAAAGTGCGAAAGGCATTGTGCGATAAATATACGATAGTTGCGCGATGACATTGTGCGAAAGTTAAAAGTGCGAAGACATTCGCATATCCCTTAGCACTTTCTGGGGTGGAAAAAGTTAAAGTGCGAAACCATTGCGCGATGAATATGCGACAGTTATGCGATGACATTGATATGCGAAAGTTAAAAGTGCGAAGGCATTCGCATAACCTTCGCATTTCACAGGGTGAAAAAGTTAGATTGTTAGTAGGGCGGTGTGAAAAATTTAATGTATCTTTGTATTGGGGTAAAAAAGATTTTTTCCCTTTTTTTTTCATTTGGTTTTTGACTCAGTTTTGATATAAGTGTCCGATGAACGAATCGAACCGAACTAAAAGCAGATATTATATATAAATTTACAAAACCCAATATAATGATATTTTTTCTACACTCAAGTCCATTTTTTAAGTCCATTGATACAAAAGAATTTGGAAGAAAATATGAAATATCACTAGCTAGCCTAAGACCATGTTATTTTTCCCTACCCAAAGAATCGAACTAAAATAAAAATACAATAGTGTTTTATCACTTACTACTACCAGGTAGCACATGCATTGCACGGGGTAATATGTGATAAATCGTATAATTTAAACAATGAAAAAATATTGATTAGTATAAAAATAGTTTTGAACATTAATTTAATTTTTATCTTTTATTTATTTTGTGATTTATAATTATTTAAAATATAATTTATATGTTTATTTCATCTGTAAAATAGTTGTCGTTTTAGAGTTCATGTTTGGAGTTATGTGTTTAATGACAATATTTTAATTCGAAGAACTAAGGGAAATAAAAGGAAAACTATGGAATATTTTAAATTATATATGTCAAAGACAGGATAATTTACAGTATTTTTTTGGAATATAGTAAAAATTAAAATTTTAGGTGAGATATATTTTTCTTACTATTTAAAGTAAATCCTTATCTTTTTATATATTAATAGATACTAATTTGGCAATTCCCAAAATGTGCACGTCTCTCACGACAATTCAAAATTTTCAATCATATGTGTATACTAGCATTCGATGTTGTGCACATGCACAAATGTTTAAATTGTTAAGTTATATGTATGTATATGATATTAAAATTATAAGTTAGATAATAGTATCACATTTCAAAAAATTTATCATTAGTAAAAATGAACATTATAAAAATATTTAGTTTTATCACTATATTGATTGCATAAAATAAAATGAATAATGTAGTTTTTATAAATTTGAGAAATCCCGACCTATTAATTATCATAAAAGTTATTATTATTATTATTATTATTATTATTATTATTATTATTATTATTATTATTATTATTATTATTATTATTATTATTATTATTATTATTATTATTATTATTATTATTATTATTATTATTATTATTATTATTATTATTATTATTATTATTATTATTATTATTATTATTATTATTATTATTATTATTATTATTATTATTATTATTATTATTATTATTATTATTATTATTATTATTATTATTATTATTATTATTATTATTATTATTATTATTATTATTATTATTATTATTATTATTATTATTATTATTATTATTATTATTATTATTATTATTATTATTATTATTATTATTATTATTATTATTATTATTATTATTATTATTATTATTATTATTATTATTATTATTATNATCTACAAATAGTAAGTTTTATTATTTTTTTTATTTTTATCTTTGAAAAATCATACATCATTAAACTGTTGCCTTCAATTTCAGTCTTTAATTCATTTTATTATTTAAAAATTTCGGGTAAGATCTTTTAAGTTTGCATGTTTTCATTTTTATTTTTTTCTTAGAAACAACAAAGAACAATAAAATTCCAGTCACTATATTTATAAAATCTTAATTCAAAAGGTAACAAAGTTTTAGAATACCGGTCTTTATATTTGTGTCTTCAAAAAAAAAAAATATTGAAGGTTATTATTTAAATATCATTTTCCACAAATCATCACAATTTATTTATTTGAAACGTGTCATAATAAACTTGATAATGTTTATCAATTAATTTTTTTTACCAATCTATTTTTTTTCTAAACTCGGTTTCAAAAAATAAAATAATTTTCAAATTCTCAGTCTCAATAGTTGTGCATTTCAAAAAAAATATTTAATGATAATATATTATTTGCTAATAGTACACGATTTTGAAAACTCAATTATAAATTGTCTGTTAATATCCAAATCATTTGATAAATGCAACTGGCTTTGTTAAATCTCCAGGAAAATATGGTAAAACAAAATGAGACGATCAACTTTGTATGGAAATAAAATAAAATCAATATGAAGTTCACAGGAAATGAACATAATTAGTAATTTGAATAATACACGGATATCAAAAATTAATACCCAGGTGGTTTCTAAAATTCAAACTTATACTTATCATTATCTTTTGAAAATTGAATAATATATTGTAGACAAATTTTTTTTAAATAGTTTTAGACATATTTTCTTTACAAAACAATTTAGAAAAATTTTAGGTGACTTCACATATTTCAATAATAATATATAAAATTTTAGATACTTTACATACGTTATATAGTATTTTAGGTGTTTTTAATATTTTAAACATATATTTTTTATGTTATTTTATACAATATAATTTTATATTGTTTACAACTGATATACAATAAATTATGTCACATATTAACTCTACATATTAATTTATAATTATTATTAGTATTGTTTACTCTCATATTTAATTTGTAATTATTAGTTAATTGTTTATCATCATCTTTAATTTATAATTATTAGTCAACATTGTTTACCCGTGCATTGCACGGGATACACACTAGTGATACTTAATAGACTTGTATTTTCGACAAGCCATCTTTTTTTTTTCTTTAAACGTATTAGTTTGGCTTGGTAAAATTACTAATCAAGTAGCTATTGCTATTTTTTAGCTCACGGCTTGTAGATTTTTTCACATTGTTTCCATTTTTCGACTAACCGATAACAGAATTGATGCAACCGGCAAATTTTCGGTCTGAAACTGAACTGAATCACAAATTTGGATCGGTTTTCGATTTTCATGCTGGACAAACCGAAATTTCACCGAATTTTGATCGGTTCAGTCCTGTTTCGACATTGAACCCCCTAGTAAACAGGTAAGAGAACCTGATTTGCTTCCAGATTTCACCACGACAAGATACAGGCCGAATCAATCTCCATGTCCAACCCAACTCGAACAACTTTATCATCACAACTTTTTATTACGTATTTCGTTATGGCACTATCTGAATACCACAACACAGCGGACAGGAGAACAATGGTGACTAGGAAAACAATGATAATACCATAATCGAACACAAACANCAAAAAAAAAAAAAAAAAAGCTTTTGCAGTGAACTAGAAATGATTGATCTGCGTTCTGTGTTGCATTTTGCCATCCAATTATTTATTTAGTTTTTTTAACATTGCCATTGTACAATGTGAAAAGACCATTAACACAAACTCCATCACAACTTGAAACTCTCTCTATTTTCTACTAGAATGTGAAAAGGTCAAATCCCTTGCATAATAAAGATGAAGAAGCTCAAGCTAATAAATTAGCTCACACAGAAATGCGCAGCAATAAGTTCTCATAAGAACCACAAAACAGAAAATCGTCACACCATAACAGCAAAAACCGAGTGGCTTATGCATAATTCGCAATAGAAGCAAATAACTGTACTTGAGCACGAGAGATACCAAAAAGAGGGAGAACATGAAGTCTCCTGAAGCCTACATGGCCGCCCGACCCCTTTCATTAATTGATAACTCGTGTTCAATTTCTCCTGTTAACCCAACAGAAAATGTGTCCTGTAATATGGAGAAGAAAGAGAGATATAAAATGTCATCTTCAATAGTATCCTTTTGCAATTATTTTGTAGGGCTTTCTGTGCCACGAGAAAACCAAACGAACAAAAACAAAATTTTGAATGGAAGATAGCTATAGCTCACCATCTCTAGTGAGCTGACTCGGTGGAGAAAAAACCCATCTGTTTTATCCCTGAAAATACAATTACACAGCAAGGCTTTATAGTACTACCAGAAAATTTGGACTTGGACAAAAGTGAGGGGCATATGACAAATTACTCACTCTTTAAGAACGACGTTCTGATTTACGGCGGTAAAATAGGGACCTCTGTCTATTGAATTAACACCCGATGACCATATTTTGACGCAATTTTTTGCGCTAATATATGCATCCTAGGGGGACAAAAACCAAAAATCAAAAGTCGATTTGGGAAACATTGCTCCCGTTCCATTTNATGCTTCAGAGCCAGTAAATATGAACATATAGATTAAAGAAACATTATAAAAAGGGTGCAAAGATATTGAAATATAGGAGAGCCACTATTATCAGCTCATGATAAGGCCAAATTCGAAAAATCGGTAGCTCACCACTCCATATTGAAGCAATATGCTCCATAAAGGCTCAAAAGGACTCCCATTTTCCATTTTCAAGATATTGCACTCACCAAATATTACTTTCCTGCATTAACTCACGGGGAAAAACGAAGTAAAGAAATTATTGGAACTAGCATGAGACATATGAAGATAAAAGTGTAGCACGAGAGAAATGAGTAAAAAACTAAAAAGACATGTTATACCAATATTTAGATAATAAACTAGATTGGATGTTAATCTAAACTAATAATGGGGCTATTACTAAATAAATTAATTTAATTCTTTATGAACTTTTTGGTTCTAAACATAAGAAAGGAAGCAAAGCTACAAATTTAGGGCTCAACTAGAATTCCATGGCCTGTATTCCATACTCAATGGCGGTACAGCAAATTTTTTCTGTTGGTCACTTGAAAAGTGATGCAAGTTGCACTATGCAGTGTCAAGAACACAGAGAAAGAAATAACCATATTAGCATGGAAAGATTTACCACTCACTGTCACTTTCTTTTAGAATCCTTGTCAACCACTGAATCTGATCATTTGCACATACACTCGAGTGATCCTGAAATGGCAGCAATTAAGTAATATAATATTTGCTTTAGAATAAATTAAAGAAGTGCATGAGAAGACAATTACAAAAAAAACATTTCAGACCTGGAATAGGATGGCATCCAACGCAATAATATCTAAGGTTCCATAAGGAATTTCAATTTTCTTTAAGAAATAAGTTCCATTTTGTCCGCCGAACGACCCAGAGGTGTACCTACAGGTTTGGTAAAAGCAGATGAGAGAAATGGAAAAGCTTTCAACAAGTAAAATTAAATAGTGGGCAAAAAAAAATCACGAAATACCATATACATGGAAATTATTGACCTGTACCAAGAAATGACATACCAGGGAATGCTTTGAAATTCAGGAAACATTGTTGCCTGTTACGAAGACAATCAATTCGTAACTAATTCAACTTAGTAAATCGATTCATGCATAAAGCTATAATTATTTTTGCATAATTCATAAAAAGGCCATCCTCACAAGGAAAAGCATGATGAAATAACAAGTCAGTATATTCCCTCCCGTCACTAAAATCCGAACTAAAACTTTAAGAGTTAAAAGAAGTAAAATCACATAACTCTCAGATGTGCTGAGCAATAAGAAAAAATCTCACATTCAGTAGGAGTGGACTAGATTGCCCAAGTTCGCTAACATCAATTACAAAATGCGCCTTGTAGATCCTCTGACCTTTTGCCATCTTCAATTACATCGAATTTGAAATTAATAAAGGGTCCATATGAAATTGCTTTAAAAGATACAATAATCAGGAATAACATGGTTAACCTAAGTGGAAAGGTGTTTTTTTTTTTTTTTTTCTCAGACCACGTAGATATGAACTCGGAGATAAAAATACAAACGAAGGAAGAAAATTAAAAAGGTGGTAATATTTGCAAATGAAACCACTTCAAATCTAAATTCTTTTACAAGCACTTAAATTGTCATTCAAGATCATCTACTCTAGTGTTTCATGCCACTCTCCAAATAAACATTGTGAATGCAACAAATAATATACGACTCGTCAATGAACACGGCAGCAGACTTGATACAGTTAAAAAACTTAAATAGAATAATACACACCAAATCAAGTATAATATATCAGCTGCTAAAATCATCACCACCATCAACCCACCTCTTAGAAAGAAGAGAAACATCGCTCCTCACCAAAAAAGAAGCAGAAAACAATCAAATATATAAGGCAAATGATGAATATTCAATAATAAATAACTCATAAGTCGAACAAATACACTTAAAGGGGGAAAATATCAATCTTTTTCCATGAAAACAAGAACCCATAAAAAAGAACAACAATACAACCTGTTGAAGCAAAAGGGTCTGCTCCACAAGTGGCCTAAACCCTCCATCAACGCTTATAAAATATACATCAATCAGCCGACCTTTACTAGAGACTTCCCCATTGGAAAGCTTCTGGGGCTGGCCTATACTGAGAGCAATATAAGCTGCAATGCAGAGAGAGAGCTGAGTAACAAGAGTGCAAACCCATGATTTTTCCTTCATTTTTGAGTCGGGTTTTGAGCTCCCTATGCATTTCTTTCCAAGTGAGATCTCAGATCCACCGAGCACATTGGTGTGACGAAATGAATCTCCTTAAGTCGTGATCGAGAAAGGATGACGAAATCTCCCACTACAAATCGTATACTTATCCCGATAAGCGTGGCTGGGTGGTAGAGAGAATTGTAAATTGGGTGGTAGAGGCAATTGTAAATTTGGTCCCGTTAGATTTAAGTCATCGCAATTTTAGTCCCACCAGGCGCATATTTGGTCCTTAACTATTTTTTGTTGTAAATTTGGTCCCAAATCTAACAGTGTGGACGGAAACCGTTAACAGCTAAAATTGGAGGGAGAATAACATCTAAAATGGCGGGAAATTGTAGCAGCAACCTCACAGGCACAGAATAGCATAAATGTCTCATTCTTCTTCAGATTTTCCATTCATCTTCACAAATTTAGAACAAAAAAAAAATGAGTTTTTCAAGTAGTTCAAGAAGAGAGGCTTGTGTTTTTTGTACATGCAAAAAGGTTGCTCGTTTACAAACCTCATGGACCCCTACCAACCCAGGAAGGAGGTACTTCGATTGTGCCCAAAATGATTGTCGCTTGGTTGGACCCTCCGATGTGTGCAAGATCGAAACAAATAATCCCCGGTTTGTTGCGTAGAATAAACCGGTTAGAAGCTGAAACAAATCGCCAAAATGTTGGATCTGCAGCTGAACTTGAAGAGAAGGAGAAGAACCTGAAAAAGATGAAGAAACTGGAAAAAAAAAATGCACAACTGAAGAAGAAGAAGAATAGGATTTTGCTGCTTTTACTTGTAATCTATATGGTGACCTTGTTTATCATGAAATAAGCATAGCATAATATGTATCCAAGTAGTTTTCATGTCTTATGTATTTGGTGTAATGATGTATTGCTGCTAATCTCAATGAAAATTACACCATTTTGTTGCCAATTTGCCATGAAACAAACACAGCACTTTAGAAACAAACACAACTGCAGATCACCATACTGAATATGACCCAAACACAACTGCAGATCATCATGTCTGCCATGAAACAAACACAACTGCAGAAATTCAATTGCAAACACAAAACTTCAAGCATGAAACCTCTATGTAAACACAGAACTTCAATTCACTTTCAATTAAACACCAGTCATCATGAAAATACACTTTCAGTCATAAAACACTACATTTCAACAAGAGATCCACCTTCAGTCATAGAAAACCAATCACATGATATAATTCAGAGTTCCCAAAACAAGACAACTTTCTGAGTTCACACAATATAAGCATGTTCACAAAACACCCCTTTTCAAAAACCACTCACAATCAGGGACTAACTATCATTTCAAAAGGTTGAGTTCAAAAGGTTTAGTTCAAAAGGTGCACAATTTGCAACAGGAGACTTAGATTTGATAACTTGAAGGAGTAGCTCCCCTAGTGCTTTTCCTTGCCTGTTTAAATTAGAGATTGATATAAGAACTTACAAAAAAGTAAAACACAAAAAAAAAAAAAAAAATCATAAAGAATAAAGAACTTACAATTAGTTTTCTTTGAGGAAAATCATCATTCTGAGTTTGGCTATTATCATTCTGAGGCTGGCTATCATCATTCTGAGTTAATAATGGAAAATCATCACCTTGAGTCATCTCTTCATGTTGTGTCTCCATCTCAAAGGCACCATCAGCAATCCCACTTTCAGCTAACTTTTTCCACTCACAACCTCTTTGATTGTGTCCCTTTTGATGACAAAACTTGCAGGACACCATATACTTTTGCCTTGGAAGTTTTTGTGCACCTTTCATTTCTTTTTTTCCACTGCTACTCTCACCTGCTCCCATTCTTCTTAGTTTGGCTGGCCTCCCCTTTTTTTTCCAAAATTTGGAGGAAGTGGAGGTATGTAGCCTGTCTTATCCCATAGACCTGGCCCAGTTATAGGACTGATAGCAGGTTCATACACTTTAGCATAAGTGTCACAGGAATAACATGCATCCACAAAGTCCTCAGGTTGATGCCCTTGTGCTAATAAGGCACTGCATGCATGTTTGCATGGAATTCCTGTCAAGTCCCACTTTCTACAGCTACAACTTCTTTCCTTCAGGTTCACAGTATGAGAAGCACCATCATTGCAGTCTAGTTGGTACAACCAGTCATTGGATTTGATTGGGATGCATTCAGAGGCTTTTACTTCATGTTTGTCTACAAGTTTCTTGATCTTGGGGCAGATTTTCCTCCCTTCCCACTTTCTCTCGGCCATATCCCTGTTCTCTTGGAGCCTAGTCATCAGATATTGTCTCACCCATTCCAACATAGTCAAGATTGGCTTCTCTCTTGCCTCTAAGATGGAGCTGTTGAAAACCTCACAGATGTTGTTCAACAACAGGTCTGACTTAGGAGCTGTATTGAAGTGGGACTGTGACCATTGGTTTGCAGGTTTATCCTCAAGCCAAACTCTGCAATCCTTGTCAAGTTCACCAATCCTGTTCATTGACTCTTTGAATTCTGAAAGAGTGGTGGCTTTAGCTGCTTTCCATAAAGCCCTTTTAAAGGCTAGACCTCTGAAACCGACTGTTTGCATATTGGCATGTAAATGCCTGACACAAAATCTGTTATGAGCACCAAGAAGCACATCTTCAAATGCTGGAATCATGCCCTTTTGCTTGTCAGACATGAAAGTCCATTCATCATCATTCTGAATCATCAAATCTTCCTTTAGATTTTTAAGAAACCAAGTCCATGTCTCTTTGGTTTTGTTGGTAATATTTTTGGGCAAGTAATAACCGAGTTACCCGACTCGGGTCGTTCTCTAAGGAAGGTTAGCCGGATTAAATTGTATGTTTATTCAATTCACAAAAGAGAAAATATTCCTAAACATTCTAATTCAATTTAATAATGGGGTTTTAAACTAAATTAAAAGTAACATAAATGCTATCATTTTACTCTGAAAACCTTTCAAATGATAAAGTCGTTTTACTAGTAAATACTTTCTAACGATAAAATCGTTTTACTCGTAAATACTTTCAAACTAAAATTTGTTCTACAAGTAAAAACTTTCAAACAAATAAATTGTTCTACTAGTTAAATACTTTCAAACTATAAGTTGTTCTACTAGTAAAAACTTTCAAACAAATAAATTGTTCTACTAGTTAAATACTTTCAAACTATAAAGTTTTAAGGAAGAAAAGAGAATAACTAAAATGACAAAGATAAGTTTTAATAAATGTAAAAGTCTAGGGTATTGAGGATAATTAATTCCTGTTTTATTAACATTTATCGGTAATTAAATTACTCAGTTAAACGATTCACTTAATTTACTCATCTAGAGGTTTATCCGTACTAACTCTCGTAATATACGAATAAACTTAAATAAATGAATTAGTGGAACGGTTAACACATAAACAATACGTTTCCGAACATGTCTATTCTAAACAAATCAAGTTCTATCAACTTCGCCCCTTTCCGTTATGAAATCGATTATGTAGATTAAAATGGTGATCAAACATTTAACCATAATATTAATAAAATTTGTAAAGATTGAGCAATAAAAATACTTATAAACGATAATAAACCGAAACGATTATCCCCTAACCCTAGTTAGGAAATTAGTTACTCATAGTAATTTTAACATACAAATTCTTATGTAAATAAACCATTATAAAATAAAAAAAAAACTTACTAGTAATCCACAAGCTAGAGCAAGTACAAACTTAATGTCCAAACTTCAACAATCTTCAACAATTTAATCTTACAAATTCAAACTTACAAATGTAGTAAAAATAGAAATGTGGAAAGATAAAATGATTGTTTGATGATAATGTTGCTATTTATAGATATAAATAGCATACTAACATCAACTAACATCAACCAAAGTTCAACAATAATTCAACCACCAAGAAAAATGCAAGAAAAGGTCAAAGAAGATAGGAAAAATGAGAGAAAGGTTGGAATTTTCGGACAAAATCCGAGAATGAATTTTTCCGCGCGCATTTGCGCACGTCTCGGGCAGCTCTGCTTCTCGGGCTCGTTTTGGGCTCGTCCGAACTCGGAATTGAGTTCCGTTTTTTTCTACGCGTTGCTAACGAACCCCTCTATTCAATGATGTATGTCAATACAAATTTTACCCAGAATACAATTATCTAAGGATTTTTAACTTCCAAGGTGTCGGCAACTCCCTCGATTTTACTCTTCGGTTCCGTACGAACTCATCCGAACTCGAAATCGAGTTCCGCTTTTTCCTGTGTGTAGCTAACAAGCTCCTCTTTCCATTAATGTGATCATGCTCAATAACTTTCCAAAATCCTGCTCTTCCGAGATTTTCGACCGTTCCTTTATTTTACAAATACTCGAAAAATACAAGAAAAATATACAAAATTCCACACAAATACTTAAATATTACAAATTACTAAATAAAACTACAAACTACCCAAAATCCCACAAACTTACTAAAAATACATAAAAATAATAATAAAAAACATTAATAAAAACATAACAAAAATAACACTAACAGGTTTCACTACCCACCACTGCATATGCTATAGGGTATGGATTATTTGATGGATCCACCCCTACAGCTGTGAGAAGAATGCCTCCATGCTTAGCCTTTAAGTGGCAGTCATCAACTCCCACTAATTTTCTACAACCAGCAAGAAAACCATGTTAGAATGGGGCCAAACAAATGTAGATCTTATCAAATTTTTTCTGTCCATCAGGTCCTGGAGCATCTGTGAGTGACAATAAAATTGCGCTGCCTGGATTTTTCTGCCTCAGAGCATATGCATAGTCCCACATCTTTGCATATTGGTCAGAATGTGATCCCTCAATTGATTTCAAAGCCAATTGTTTGGCTCTGAAAGCTTTGTCCTTGGACACATGACACTTCAGCCTTTTCACTGCATGTCTTCTGAATCCTTTAAGGGATCTCTTTGGATCAGATCTGAAATCTTCTACATACCTCTCTGCAATCCATCTAGCTGTGGCATTTTTTACTTTCCATGTCCTTGCACAGGAGTGCCTATGACTGTAGGCTCTAATTTGGTAGGCCTCTTCATTACACACTTTTAGTGCATTTATGGCCCACTGACAACCATTTGGTTCTTTTTCACACCTAGCATAGATTCTCCTCTTATCATTTTTAGTGATTCTGAGGCTTCTATGAGTTTGGATACCATGAGAAGAAATTGCTTCCTTGAACAAACTCTTGGATGGAAACATCATTCCAATTGCAAATTGAGGATTCAAAACATCCTCATCCTTAAACTCAGGACTCTCATTCTCCTCTTCATCTTCATCTTCATCTGAACCCTTCAAACTACAAAAATCATTATCACTACTATCTTCAGCCACAGACATACTACTGTCAGTGGACAAGTCAAACTCTGCCCCTTTAACATGTTTCTCCACAAGATCCTGCTCATCCACATACTCATCAATAACTCTTTCCAGCACAGCATCATCAGAATCACTATCTACCCCTTCTTTTCTGCCTTCAAAATTTTCATCCACATCTAAATCAACGTGTTCTTCAAACAGAACATCATCATCATCAGAGCCATTATCAACATCCATTGTGGAAAAATCATCATCCTCAGATGAGGCTTCATAACCCTCACCTGCCTCATTAACACCTTCACCTGCCTCATTCATAATCACACCATCATCCGCATTGCCATCCTTCCCAAATTCCCTTTCTTTCTTTTCAGCCACTAGATACAATTTCACTTCTCTGTTTTGATGCTTATCAACAGCCAACAGAAGATCAGTCTCCATAATCATCTCTCTGTATTGATAGTCCAAGTCAAGTCTATAAATTTTTTTCACCCCACAGTAGCTTAACTCTTCACAAAACCTATAGACATCCCTTATGTTTACTTTGTACTTATCCACATAATCAAATGCACTAATCTCACCCCCAACATACCTCTGCTGCCCTTCAAATATGTCATCAGCGAAAATCCCATCATGATGTATTTTGAAAGTAAGGTAAAATGGCTTAGTGCCACCTGCATTTGCATAAAATGGAACATTTTGGTCAAATATACAGAAAAATAAAGGGCAAAAACAATTAGTATACAATGAGAACTAAATTTAAAAAATTAAGAAAAAGCCCTAATTACCGAGCATGAAGGACCACATACCTGACAAAATCCCTAATTTAAATAAATTCAGAAAAATCCTAATTACCCGACAAAGCCCTAATTTTTATCACAAAATTTAGAAAAAAAACCCTAATTACGAAGCATGGAGGACCACATACCCGACAAATTTCTATTTTCTATCACAAGATTCAGAAAAACCCCAATTACCACATACCCGCAGAAGCCCTAATTTTTCGAACACATCACCCTAATTACCATAAAAAAATTCGAAAAAATGAACGCATACAAACGAAATTCGAACAAATAACACATTACAAAACAACATACAATCAGAAAAATTAAAAATGAAGCGCTAGGGTTTAGGGATAAATACCGTATGTCGGATTTGAATTTTCGACAGCATCACTTGAGCGGAGCATCGGATTTTCAACTCAATACCGTCGTGTATTCAAAGCAAATTTGAATTTGTAGTAGATTATAGATGTTAATTTTGATTTATGGATTGAATATTGAACCAAATTTTTGAGAATTAGATTTGAGAGAGAAGAATTAGGTTTAACTCTCTCTCTCTCTCTCTCTCTCTCTCTCTCTCTCTCTCTCTCTCTGATACAAATCGACAGATTTATATCTGGCAAAATAACGACCAAACGCCCACGTGCCCTCCGCATGATATTTCCGTCCACTCTGTTAGATTTGGGACCAAATTTACAACAAAAAATAGTTAAGGACCAAATACGCTCCTGGTGGGACTAAAATTGCGATCACTTAAATCTAACGGGACCAAATTTGCAATTCCCTCCTGGGTGGTAAAAGCTCTAATCGATTGATTGTTGAAATTTTTAGTCCGGCCTGTGAGGAAGTTGTAGTGTACACAGTAGTTTTGGTCGGTTTTTTTTTTTATTTTATTTTTTGTTGGTTGAATTCCAATTTGGTAAAACTATAATGACTACAAATTGAATAAAACTAGTAGCTCGACTCACTCTTTATTTTTGCTTGTTTGATAAATGAGTCTAACTCAAATTTGTGAAAAACTTCGCTTAATTAACAAACGGTTCAAGTCGTTATTTTTTATAAATGACCTAAAATCGAGCTTACATATCAATTTGTGTTCAACTGGATAATTCAAGAAGTTCAAGTTTGGTTTGACTCGGTTGATATGCACCTCATAAGTAACTAATGACTAAATAAATGCTTTTTATGAACATTTTAAGTATGAAAACAATGTGAAAAAACATTAATACTTTATGGAATATGGAATATTTGAGTGTCTTTGGTCTTATGGTGAAGGCCTTGGTCGATTTCATCGAATATTGAAGCCAATATGAATTTTAAAAGGCAATCATGCCTCTGAATCTTTGAAAAATTGTTAAATATTGTGTACTCGGCCAAATTGATGGAAATTTTGAGGGTCATCTCCTGTGTTGATTAGGGTCCTTGTTTAAAATTTTTAGATTAAAACTCAATCAATAGGTGTCTGAACTGAGGAATGTTATTTTTACCCTAATTCTTTGAAAAGTCATATTAAATAATTGGCTCGATCGGAAAAATACATATATTTTATTATTTATTTCTTATTAAGTGAGTGGAAAAAAAAAATGAACATAAAAATTGCAGCAAAACCAATGTTTTAAAAATCGAATTGTACTAGGAGTCATGTTGAAAAGAAAATCGGCCACTAATTGGTTTGATATCCACCCAAAAATGTTCGTTAAAAAACTTGTCTAAGAACCGATATTTAACCAGTCAGACTGGTCAAAATTAGTCAAAAACCTATTGGTTTGAAATTTTAGTTTTTTCATTATTTTATGAAAAATAATTTTAGTATTTTAAATATATTTTTTTCATATAAAACATATCTTAGATATGTATAAATTAAGTAAATTTTGTTGGTCAACGAAATTGTAACAACGAAAAATATATTCGACGAAAAGAAAGAGAACTTATTCGTGGTTTATTGGTTGTCCAACTGAATTGTAGTTCGTGGTAAAAAATTCCTTCTTTCCTTACAGTAAAATCTATGTCTATTTGTATGGCGGTACAAATGAGCATTTAATGCCTAATGGTTGCGACTTATGTGTGTAATACAAATCTATACTTATATTAAAGAGGGTACTATTTACCAAATTAAGTAGCCAGAAAAGTCAACAGCATTTATTGCATTACTATTTCTGTATTATACTATATAAAAGGATATTCTATTTACTACATTTACTATCCAGAAAAGTCAACTGCATTAAATGTCATTACTATTTTGGTATTATAATATTTTATTTATTTAATTGATTTAATTATTTGTTTTATTTTAAAAAGGTAAGTATGATAAAAAGATTTTAATAATAAAAAAATCAAATACCAAATAAAAATGTACACTTTGACTTATTTGATTATATTTAGTATTTGATTATACCAAATATATTCCTATTTAGTATATACATTAAATACTTACTAAAGTATTTATTTGTTTTATTTGTCAAAGTTAAGTATAAATTTGTTTATATTATCAAATCATAAAAAAATATTAAATCCATATTGTAAAAAAAAAATCATATAATTTTATAACAATTCTACAACACTATTTAACAATATTCCTTTTTTATTATATAATAAAATAATAATTAAATATTATATGGTGAACAACAATAAGTAAAACTGTTACTTTCTCTTATATCAAGGGATAAATTTATATGCTAAAATTAAATTTTTATTAGTATAAATGTTTTAGTGAGATAATATATTAATTATTTTATAAGCTAGTCCTAACATGCTCATATTTAATGTTTTAAAAGATGTAGAAAAAAAACTTATAATAACTGTATTGTTTTTTAAATTTAAAAGTTGATTAAAAGAGGTAAAAATTTCTATTTTTTTAGACTTAAAACGTTGATTAACACCATAGATTGAGAGTTTATATTTAGTAAAATTCCTAATTGTACTAAAAAAATTAATTTTTGCTATATTTTAGAATATCTTTAAATTCACTATAAAAAAAAAAAAGAAAAAAAACTACAATGACAAAAGTAAGTCAGCTATATATCGATTTGTTGTACTCTTCAAATCACATTCACAATTTGGCTACAAGGAAAGGAAACTCATTGATTAAAATATTATTTTTTCAGTAGTTTTAATATACAAGAGACATTAAGACTCCACTTGAATATTATAAACCTTTTATTGAACATTGTACAATTTCTTGCGTATTATAAACTTGTATTGAATAGCATCTTATAATATAATATTCTCCAAATAATTATATCCCGTGCTTCACACGGGTCACGTACTATATATATCCCGTACTTTTTTTCTATTCATGTATATAATTATAAGCCTGGATAAATAGCCTTAAAATTATGCACCCCGTGCATCGCACGGGCTCTGTACTAGTTAGGCATTAAATGTAATTGTACAATTCATTTTTAATTTTGAAAAGTACAATTACATTTAATGCCTAACTAGTACAGAGCCCGTGCGAAGCACGGGGTGCATAATTTTAAGGCTATTTATCCAGACTTATAATTATATATATGAATAAAGAAAAATGTACGGGATATATATAGTACGTGCGAAGCACGAGATATATTTATTTGAAGAATATTATATTATAAAATGCAATATTCAATAAAAGTTTATAATACGCAAGAAATTGTACAATGTTCAATAAAAGTTTTATAATATTCAAGTGGAATCTTAAAGTCTCTTGTACATTAAGACTACTGACAAAATAATATTTTAATCAATGAGTTTCCTTTCCTTGTAGCCAAATTGTAAATGTGATTTGAGGAGTACAACAAATCGATATATAGCTGACTTGCTTTTTTCATTGTAGTTTTTTTTTCTTTTTTTTCATAATGAATTTAAAGATATTCTAAAATATAGCAAATATTAATTTTTTTTATTATAATTAGGAATTTTACTAAATATAAACTCTCAATCTATGGTGTTAATCAACGTTTAAGTCTAAAAAATTAGGAATTTTTACCTCTTTTAATCAACGTTTAAGTCTAAAAAACAATAGAGTTATTATAAGTTTTTTTTCTACATCTTTTAAAACATTAAATATGAGCATGTTAGGGCTAGCTTGTAAAATAATTAATATATTATCTCACTAAAACATTTATACTAATAAAAATTTAATTTTAGCATATAAATTTATCCCTTGATATAAGAGAAAGTAACAGTTTTACTTATTGTTGTTCACCATATAATATTTAATTATTATTTTATTATATAATAAAAAAGAAATATTGTTAAATAGTGTAGTAGAATTGTTATAAAATTATATGATTTTTTTTTACAATATGGATTTAATATTTTTTTTATGATTTGATAATATAAACAAATTTATACTTAACTTTGACAAATGAAACAAATAAATACTTTACTAAGTATTTCATGTATATACTAAATAGGAATATATTTGGTATAATCAAATACCAAATATAATCAAATAAGTAAAAGTGTACATTTTTATTTGGTATTTGATTTTTTTATTATTAAAATCTTTTTATTA